TTGCCCCGTTACTTAATTTTGAAGAAAGTAAAAGTTTGAATGTAAAATCTTTTTTCCTATAAAAAAAAAAGTTGTCTCTTTAATGTATGTTGAACGCATAGACTTAACTAATTATTTAAGCACATAAACAACTTGAGTATCTCAATCTTGATGTATGTGCAAAACATTTTTACCACTGTTTTGATGTTTATTTCAATTTTAAGCTTTTTAAAAACTCTCTCCCTTTTTTTTGTTATAGTATATTATATCTTTATATATTAACAATAGAACTTTGAAAAGGTTTTAATTTGTATTTTAGAAAATTGGAAAAGATTTTAAAAAATTAATATGCAAGCGATAGGATTTGAACACTCACGTTGTACTTTGAAATTGCAGCAAGCTAACCACTTTGGCCACTAAGACACACTAAATAGCTAATTTTTAACACTATTTAAAAAACAAAAGATGGAATATAATTTTATAAAACAGCAAATAAACACTTTAAATTTTTATACTTTAAATCAAAATTAAGGGGATTTTGCCGCAATGCAATTTTTAAGTAAAAATATTTGTAGAACTTTAAAAATGTTTAATTTTTTATTTTAAAAAAAAAAAAAGTGAAAGAGCAAGGATTTGAATTATGGCGTTTCACTTTATAATACTATGACCTAACCACTTTGGCCACTAAGGAGTATTGTTCGATAAAAGTTTCAAAACTATTTAATAAACAAAAGGCTTTAAAATGGCAAATAAATGCTATAAATCAAAATTGAGGAAATTTTGTTGCAATTCAATTTTCAAGTAAAAGTAAAACTGTAAAAATAAATGTTTTACAGTTTAGTTAAAAATTGTAAAATTTACATAATTTGAAGTTTACATAAGTTAAATATTTGCATACACTTTTGTACACATTTTCTGATACAAAAAGTGTTGCGAGTTTTCCTTGCCATTTCAGGTGTAATGGCTGCCGTGACTTCAATGTCAAACACTTACAAATAGGTAACAGTATTGAATTCATTATTAAAATATTATAAGATTCATGAACTTATACAAATACGTAATTTAGAAACATTTCAAATCTGCTAATAATAGTCTGCAAAAACATTCATTAATTTTTAAATCACCCATTAAAAAACTTTTGTTCATTAATTCTAAAATATATACACCTCTTTCCATACCATTAGAAACAGTTTAGAAATGCTAAACTGTTTATAAATTACAAATTGTTTATAAATTTAATCTTTCTAGATGAATTTTTACTTAAATTAAAATTTGGGATTAGTTATGTTGTTTGAACAAACAATGAATTATAAAAGTGCATTAAAAAAGTTATAACACTATTAAAGTGTTATTACTTTCATAACCCAGTTAGTGACTATAGTGTTATTACTTTTGTAGTCGTAAATTTATTGTTTTGTTTTTTATAACTTTATTGGTAACAAATTTATGTTAATTTAGTTTATGAAAATAAAGTACAGAATCTTGTATAAACTAAAATTTTAAAGACTAGATATTTTTCCACATATTGCAATGCTTAATTCAACCCTTGATTACTTAACAAATTGTCAATGTAATATTTGATTGAATATTTGAAGATAAAAACAAATATTGGTACATTTTTTATCATGTGATCTGAGTTGAATAGATATTCCTCAAAAAAAAAAGAGCTCTGTTTCACAGTGGCAATTAAATTGCATGTTTCAATATGATCAACCTTTTAACGTATGTCTCATTAAGATATGCATTTTAAATTAAATTTTTTTAATTGATGAATATTTTTCTCTTCAATAACCATGAAATATTCTTGCCATTATTCTTTTCCTAGTTTTTTATGAAGTTGTTTTCCTAGTTTTTTGTGAAGTTGCTAGTGGTAACATCTTTTAAAATTAATGACAACACTAAACTTATATCAATTTTAAAAAGAGCCATGAACCATCTCAGTAGGCATAAAAAGCATGTAATTTATCATTCTCAATTAAAACTTCATACGGTTATATTATATTATATATAAGTTATTATATTATATCATTATATTATAGTAAATATATTATGGATAATATTACTATTAAATAAGATACATTAAAATAATTAAAAACAATTGTGCCTGTTTTAGAAAAAATAAAAATAATTGCAGAATTATTTAAAATAATTACAGAAGAAATGTAACAAATCACAAAAACAGAATCAACTCACATTATCTTGCATAAGTTTGTCATTATTTGATTTCATAGATGCAGGCGTACAAACAGTATTATGAGAAGGACGACGCAATGGAGTCAACGACTAAAAAGAATTTTATTTAAAACACCATTTTTAATTTAAAAAAAAAAAATTACAAAATATGCAAACCATTGATAAACCAAAGTTTGAAAACAAAAAAATTAAAAAAATTAAATTAAAAATTAAAAGAAAAACAAGTTAACAACTTTTTATGACCAAATAAACCAAATAACAACAAATAACAACAAATAACAACAAATAACAAATAACAACAAATAACAACAAGCTTCTGCAAGATGAAGTAATAACAATAATAAATTTATAATAAAAACAATTAACTAATTAGTAATAAAAAAATATTAATAGCAAGTTATTAATAAAATACCTTTTGATCTGTTAATGGTGATGCAACTGAAAGTTTTTTACATTGCAGAGGTGTAAATGGTTCCTTCACCAATAAGGATGGGCTGCAATTTTTAAACAAAGGTGTTTTTGAGTTTGCGGCAATCCAATGTGTCGCTGGAGGTTTTAATTCTATTTCTTGAGGTAATTTAGCTTCTGACATCAACATATCAGCAGTTTGATTTAAACCTGTGTTTATAAAGTTTAAATAAATTACCTATTATTTCATGATAAAAAATAGATAGTTTTATCATGTTTTTTAACTAACAAACTAAAAAAAAAAAAGTTCGTGTTCATTAGTGATATACTGATTGCAAACTTTTGGGCAAAAAAAATTTTTGGGCAAACAAAAAAAAGATAATGATTAGTTTTTTTTTTTTTTTTTTTTAAATTATTCACCTCCCCAAGGCCCGAGGGGGCCACTACAGTCGAGGAGGCTACTCTTTTTTTTGTTTGTTTGTTTGTTGTTGTTGTAAATCGTGGTACAACCTTCTCTTAACTCTTTAACTCTGAAACACGAACCATGACAAGCAAGACCGCTGCGCGGAGAAATTAAGTTGAGCGCGATACTTCCAGGGATGTGGTGGGAGTCGAACTCCAAACCGCTCGCTTACAAAGCGAGCGCTCTTACTACTACACCAGTATCACATGTTGATCAATTATAAGAATAATGAATAATATAAAACTAAATATATTACAGTTTAGAATCAAGACCATCATGATCACACAGATACTGTAAGTCATGACCACACAGATACTGTAAAACATGTAATCAACTATAACCTGGCAGATGTCTCACTGCTTTGTAACTGACTCAAAAAACACCCTGCCTTGTAGTTTTTGGTTGAGTTTAGGCTAGAGATAGTGACTTGATAAAATATTTGTCTTAGGCAGATGTTAACATCTGGCTACTGCATTGTAGAAAACCTCCTGGGCAAAAACTACAAGGGTAAGCAGAAAATTTTTGTATGCTAGCCTTGTACTCTTTTTTCATCAAATAGTTGGCATAGATTTAAACCGTTGTAACATTGTTTCCTGCTCGGATGATGAACACAAGAACTTCTTCTGTGTTATTTTTTTTCTACATTAATGATCTTTAATGAATGTTACCTCTTTAGTGGCTCAAAAGCAACGTTGTTTTTTACTGTAACTGTTCCACTATGCTCAAAAAACTTTTACAAACCTAGTTTTTTACCTCAACACAACACAACATTTTAGAAATCCTGTTTTCACATTTTCCATCCTTTATGCAGTTTACATTTTTTAAGGACTTTTTCCAATTGTTTTCTTTTTATTTAACTTTCTTCTTTGCTTTCTGTTAAATACCAAATTAAATAATATTAATTGCAACCTTTTTCGAAGTGAATTAAGTATTAAAAAAATCATATTTAATTGTATAATTTTGCCTCAAAAATAAAAAGTATACCTTTATATATAGAGATATATAACTGTTTTCATAATAAATTTATTTTAAAAAGCAATTGGTTAGAAAATTGAGCGGTAAATGCTGATACTGATTGTGCAAAAAGCGTCTGACATCAATGCAGATTAATCATTACATCACTACTGAAGAATAAATTTAATAGTGTTTAATAGGTAACACACAATTTAACACAGTGGAACCTTATTATTAAATACTATTGTTATATTAGGGTAAAAACCTATGGGCTTAAATATTTGTTCGATGCCTGAGTAAATATAACTTATGACAAATTATGTCAATACGAGCTTGCATCTCTATTAACTAATTAAAAAAGATGCACAGTAATGCTTAATTACAATCAGTAATGCAGCACAAAAAGTACCTTGTGATCGTAGATGATCATGAATTATTGAAAGCAACTCTTTTTGAGGATAGGTAATCTTTGTTTGCATGATTATGTCAGCCTAAATAGTAAAAAGATAGATATTATACAGAATAAAAAAGATAATATACAGAACAAACAAAAAAAATTATGTTTATAGTAAAAAAAAAAAAAAAGTTTAAAGCATAAATTACATTTAAAGAAAAAAGAAATAATGCTTAAAGTAGAAATTATGTATTTAAGAATTAAATTAAAGAAAAAAGAAATTATGTTTAAAGTAGAAAGTTTTTTATTACTTTGTTAAAATATAAGTAAAAGCTAATACAAGTACCATGATAATATATTAAATATATACCTTATTAATAGCTGTAAACATTGGAATGGCACTGGATTGTTGCATTTGAAATGACTTTCCAGTTACACGCTCAATTAAAATAGAAGCATACTTTTGAAATTTTGTATGTTCTCGAATGTGATCTGACAGCACTGGTTCTCTCATCAAAATATGAAAATTTTCATTGTGAAACATAGGCAGCTTACTGAGAACTTGACATATGTGTTCATTTACAGATAAAGCGCACAATGCCTAAACAATAAAGATATATCATTAGACCATTTCATATAAATTTTATTAATGTATTAACAAATACAAATCAAATAAAACCATTAATTATTTATTATAATTATAGTTATTATAACTTATAATTAATTTAGTTTATTTAAATATCAATTTATTGCTATTTAACTATTGCAATATCACTGACTTTAGTTAAAAACTTATATTATGAACAATTTAGCTGCTAACTATTATTAGTATAGCTGCTAACTATTATATACTAACTATTATAAATAGAAGCATTGTTGTAAAACTTTATAAAAAAAGAATTTTTTTTCTTTAACCACATAGATTGCATACACAAAACTAATTTTAAAATTTAAATTTAAATTAAATAGTATGTTAGGTATAAACATACCTTTGCAAAATGTACAAAACACACACACAACCTATTCAGCATAACATTTATGCAACACATAGAGTATAATTTTAGATTTCAGAGTATAACAGATAGAGTTTAATTTTTTATCAAGAAATTAAAAAATATTATGATTCATTAACTCTAAAATGGATATAGTGCACAACATTTTTTTTTAAATAATGATACTGGTATCTTTTTCAACAAAGTTTGGCATGCTGGTCTTCTCCATAAGCTTGCTTCCTATGTTGTATGTGGAAACATTTTTGAGATTATCAAATCATTTCTTTTTAACCATGTTATTAAAGTCATCCTGAAAGACCTCTTTCATTACCAGTACTCTTTCATTACCAGTACTCTTTTTCATTACCAGTAACTTCTGGAGTACCTCAAAAATCTATCCTTGGTCTGTTTTTGTTTTCTATCTACATAAAGAATCAGCAATAAAAAAGCTTTATTTGCTGATGACACAACTTTATACTCTTGTCTTGACAAAAAGTCTTCTCTTTTCAATCGCTTAGAACAGGCAGCCAATCTTGAATCTGATATCACTTCTGTAACAGATTGAGGCTTGCAGTGGCTTGTGTATTTAAACTCCAACAAAACTCAGTTATTTACTGCAAACTACTATCACAATACTGTCGACATTCCTATATTGATAAATAACAACTCTCTCAATGAGTCCTCTTCTTTACGTCTTTCTGAACTATTACTCACTAATGACCTCTCATAGAAACCATATATACAAATGATTGCTAAAATAGCATCTGCTAAGGTTGCTTCTCTTTATTGTGCTTGACTCTTTTCTTACTCTATATTCTCTACCTTTATAAATCTCTTATTTATCCCTATATGGAATACTGTTGTCAAATTTGAGCTGGTTCTTCTAATGATGCTCTTTCTCTTCTAGTCAAGGTCCATAAACACATTGCAAACTTAGTTGAATTTTTCTATCTGCCAAGCTTGAGCCTCTTTACCATTATTCTAAAGTTGCATCTCTTTCTCTTTTCTACAAATACTACCATGGTTGCTGCTTAAAGGAGCTGTCATCTTCAAATAAAATTCATTCTCGCTTGACTCTTCATTCAGCAAAGTCTCTTCCTTTTGCTGTATCTGTCACTGCATGCTCTAAAAACTAGTTTTTAGTTAGTTTTTTCCCCAGCACTTTGGAGCTCTCCCATCTTTTCATGTTTTCCTGACTCATACAATTTTAAACTTTTCAAGTCTTCTATAAACTGTTTCTTTGCTCTTTAAAAAGCAAAGAAACAGTTTATTTTTTTGTTTTCTAGTAATTCCTAACTTAATAGTGGTTCCTTACAGCCTTATTGGGAGTGAAATTAAAATTTAAAAAAGTTTGAAATAAAAAAAAATTATTAATCACATGGATATCTTTTATTAAATATCTTGGTGACAATAAAGTTTAATTAAATAAACAAAGCAAATTTAAAGTGAAAAGAATTGAAATAAATGAAAAAAAAACTTTTATTTAAAAAAAAAAAAAATGCAAAAAAAATTTTTAATTTTAATTTAAAGTTGAATTTAAAGCACAAAATTTATTATCTAACAGAAACTAACAAAATTCAAGTAACTATTCTATTTAACAGAAATTCACTTCAATACTGGTAGCAAAAAACCCAAACATATTCCAATAACAGAATTTTTTATAATTTGAGGTTATGTTGTTGTGAACAGCTGATGTTACTTCTGAATTAGCCTAATTTCAACTCAAATATTTAGCTTTAAAAAAATAAGTTTCTTATAAAAAACAGTTAAACTGAAAAAAGTTGCTTGTATAGAGGTTGTTTATAAAGAATGTTGCTTATATAGAGCGTTCACTGTATGTATATGTATGTATGTATGTATGTATATATATATATATATATATATATATATATATATATATATATATACAAATAGTATTGCGTACTAAGGTAAGCAATCTGACATCATACTGAAATAGCCTGCTGCTGGGGGCTTCAGTACATACATCGACTGACAAACAGCCTGACTTGCAGTGGAGTGCTGCTACATCGACTGAGGGTTTGGGATGGGGCAGCAATCGTTTCATTCATCATTCTTCGTTTTTTTTTCTTCTTTTTCTAAAAAAGCCGTATGGATTAAGGTAAACAAAAAAAGTGAGGAAATGCTTATAAAAATACGCTTTAGTAAGTGTGTGTGTGTGTGTATATATATATATATATATATATATATATATATATACATATATAAATATATATATATATACACATACACACACAGAGTTGTATATAAAATGGCACTTAAAAATTAAACCTTGCAAGCAAGTGTCCTAATAGCATCAGCTTCTGTTATGGGAACCTTTGTATTGAGAGCTGACATGAGTATTTTAATTCCATTGTTTAACCGTACAGATGACCAAATTTTTTGAAGCACTTGATTACTTGCATTATTTGGTTTGCTTCCATCCTGAAATAAAAAAATAATGATAGCGAAAGTCGAAAAACCATTGGAGAATAGTTAACCAAAATATTTGTTCAATAATAACAAGATAAAAAAACATCTTTACACTTCTTCATATACTTATTTCAATTATAGTTACTAACAACAACAAAAAAGTTCTTGCAATATTATTTATCTTTGCCGTTTGGCCAAAAGCTTTGTTTTATCAAGCTAACAAAGTATTTTTCAAAATGGCTCAGCTGGGTTGTTGACACAACCCTGTAAATTAGGAATCAGCTATTTTTCACCTTAAACAAAATACCAGAATAATTGTGTGGTTTAAATCTAGCCAAGTTACCAAAGTTTATGAGAAATTTGTTAATTAACAAATAAATGATCATTTTAAATCTAATTACCATTAGGAAATCTAGAGAATTTATATTATTTACAGATAGGATACATAGTTTAATTAATAATGGTTGGGGTCAACAACTAAATGATCTTGAAATCAATTCAGACAGATAGACAGTTGTCCATCTGTCTGATATCTGTCTATATGTCTATTTAAAATTATAAATTCTTTTGAATGACATTTTTTTTAACAAAACTTTGACAAGTCAAACTAAATTAGGGCAGGCAATCATAATTACAACCCTAACCCTAACCTGTTGTTTAAATTATTCAATAAGTAGGATTTCCTGAAAACTTTCTAAAGTTATTAAAATCATAGATTTTAAATTGCATTAAACTTGTTGATGAAATTTGTTGATGAAGTTTAACTTAAAATAATTAACTAAACTGGGCAGGCAATCATAATTACAACCCTAACCCTAACCTGTTGTTTAAATTAATCAAAGTGTGTAAAAAAACAAAAACAAAAAAACAAATTTAAATGCAAAAAAAAAATTAATTTGAAATTATTTCTGAAAAACATTATATTAGAATTGCTTTAATAATCTTTACACTATTTCAAAAGTTTTTTTGTCAGCAAATTTTTATTTAAATAATATTATTTTCTAAAATAAATTTAAAACTTTTCTGTTTTGCTCTTTCTGCTATATCTAAAATAAGCATTTTGACACTTGTAAATGTCTAAAATTGTAAAAAATGTAAAATTTACAAAGATTCATATTAAAAAGTTGATTCTATATATAACTTTTATTGAATGTACATAATTAAAAAAAGTTAATCCATTAAAAAAAAACATATTTTTGGTGCTTAATGTAAGATATGTAAACAGTAGGATTTCCTGAAAACTTTCTGAAGTTATCAAAATCATAGATTTTAAATTGCATTAAACTTGTTGATGAAATTTGTTGATGAAGTTTAACTTTAAATTGTAAAATAATAAAATAAAAAAATCTATTGCTCCCAGAATGTGTTGGGATTCCAATTATATGCATTTTTTTTCATTTGCTTATATAGTTTATGCAACAAAAAAAAATCTTATTGCTTCAAAAAAATTTATTTATAAAAAAAATCTGTTATCTGTTGAATGCAAATAATTTACAAAAAGTTAGAAATAATTTTTCAAAAGAAAATTATTAAAAAACATCAGTGGATGTCAATATAAAAAACTGCATTTAATATTAAAGAGCTATTGGAATGAAATAGCAATTAGATATAAAGTTAGTTAGGTAGTGATTGCGATATAAATTATGATGGTGGCAGTAGCTCACATAAATGACCAAAAATACATCTAGTGGCAGTTGAACTTTTTTTTCCTCACAAAAAATGACAACTTCAAGAAGACATAACTGCAAATGTGAACCAATTTGCTACCAATAACAAACGGCCCAGAAAAAATTAATTATTATTATTTTATTATTTTATTGCAAGTTGATTATTTTTGTATATTTTATGAAACTATTAAAATATTTTATCAAATTCAAACATTGCTATTGTGTTGTGCTACATGAATTCAAAAGCATGCAAAAAATGTTGTAATCAAATCAAATACTATTTTTAATGAGCAACATTTTTGTCTTGCAAACAGCAAAAGTTAAAACAAAAAATTAAAAACAAAAGCAAAACAAAAAAATATCTATATTTAGATCAAAGTGATATTATGTGAAACAATTTTAGAAACTTGACTTATTTAACACAAGCAGAAACATAAAAAATAAATATTACAGATGCCAAATATTAAAACCTATATTTAACTCAAAAATGTGATCTGTTTCTTGAACACCTTGAGTAAATGGAGATGAATAGTGGCCAAAATACTTTGAATTATCTCTATACTTTATTAAATACATTCACACCTGATTCTTAAAATGAGTTACAACCACCTTATTTTCTTTTATTAATATTAATATAACAAGGGTACTGTGTAAGCGTGGCAAGAGGCAGAGCGCATGTATTGAAAAATATTATATATTATGCAATATAACATGTAAGATTAAAACAACAAGTTTACCTTTTGACTTTTCCATACACAGTTACAGAGCACTCTTAAAGCAGCTTTTTGAACAGTCACATCAGGTACAAGCTCACCTTCAACAGCTCGCAGTAAAATCCTAATGATCATGTTTAATGATGTAACAAAATAATTAATTGAAATACGGTAAACAGTTAAGAAGTAAATGTGTCTAAATTATTGTGCTTCTTTTAGTCTTTTAATAATTTTTAATGTTAATCATTAATTGTTTATAATCAAATAAATAATAATAAAAATTAAAAACAGAAGAATCAAGAAAACAACATAATTTTTAGTTATAAAATTTACTTAATGCCAGATTGACTTTCTGTTGAAGAGACTTCTATTTGTTGACAAAAACTTAAAGTAATTCGGCGAGAAAATGACATAGCAACTAAGGATTCCAACGCTGTTACAATAACATCAATTCTGAAAACAAATGTAATCAAAACAAAAACTAGTGTAACCGAAAAAAAAAAGTGTAACAAATAAAAAACTTACTAATGATAATATAACAATATAATAATAATAATAATAACTTAACAATGACAAATTTGTACAGCAACTTGTGTTAAATATACAAACAACTTGTAGTAAAAACAAAATATAGGGCAATACAGAAATGATAATTTCCCAAAAAATACCTGTTACTGTAATTTTTCCAACTAGATGCCAAAGCAACAAGTTGCACAAGAAGTGGTGTGATGTTAAGCAAAACTGCTCTCTATTCCAATTTTAAAAACATGAAAAAAAATAGAAGTTAAATATCAACAATACTAAAATAGTAAAAACTTTTAGTTTGCTTTAAGCATATCAATATATGTGCTCAAGCATATCAATATATGTGTTCAAGCATATCAATATATGTGTTCAAGTATATTAATTTTTATAAGTCTAGATTTTTTTAATTATATTTAATAATCACTTATCAAAAAAAAAAAAAAGAAAAATTTGAGCTAGAAAAAATTTGACTAGACAAACTAAAAAATGTCCATATATGTGCTCAAGCATATCAATATATGTGTTCAAGTATATTAATTTTTATCAGTCTAGATTTTTTTAATTTTATTTAATAATCACTTATCAAAAAAAAAAAAAGAAAAATTTGACCTAGAAAAAATTTGACTAGACAAACTAGAAAATGTCCATATATATATTTTTCATACATTGTTTCACATTATTCCCACATTGTATCTTTTAATATAACGCATGCAAAAAAAGACTCAAAATAAAAAAAATAACTTTTACACAAGGTTTACAAGAAATGTAATGCTTTGCAATAGTATTTAAAAATAATTGATTTTAAATTTAGTAAATGTTGGAAAAAGAGAAAAAAAGGGTTACATTCAAATGGGTTGCAAAAATAATACATCCAAAAAATCTATATTTTTATAGTATAAATTATAGTAAGAAAAATAAATAATTATAACAAAACCTTTTCACATTCATTTCCACCATCATCTGATCCATACTCATGAATGAAATCAATATAGTCTTGGACATCTTCAGAAGGTGCAAACATACTCTATTAAAAATTTTCCAGCTTTAACTAATAACATGTTTAGAAAATGTAAGCATGCTCTAATAATTATATATATATATATATAACTTTTACTAACAATTCCTAAAAAACTACAGTAAAACAATCTGAAAAAAGTGAACTTTTATTTTATAACTTTAAAAACTTACCGTTTTTAAAGTTATAAAACTTACCTCAGATAGAGCTTAAAAATTAAAAAAAATCAGTAAAATATAAAAAAAAAAAAAAAAAAAAAAAAAATTACAAAAACGATTAAGTTATCTTTAAAGGCATTAAAAAAAAGATATTTTTAAAGTTTTTGTAATTGTTTAAAATAAAATCAAAACTAATACAAAGATTGAGGTTTTTGTGAGATAAAAACTTATTAATTAAATAGTATAAAAAAATACATTAAAAGTGTTTTTGAGCTTTATATTGTGTTATAAAATCCAAAGGTGTAATTGCTTCATCTCTGATACATCTATGACACATGTTACTTAAAAGGTGCAAACAAAAATTAATAGTTTAATAATAAAAACAATATATATAAACAATACCTTGTATGCTGGTGTAGGAGGAGGAGGAGAACTGTTATTCACACGAGCCAATGAACGCTTTAAATTATGATAAATAATTGAAACATGAGCAGTAAAGTATTTTTTAAGAGTTAAACATGCATTCTTGACCATTTCCCTTTGCAAAAATACACTTTCATCTGTAGACAGCTCAGACTCTTCAATCCTCATAATCTCAAGTGTGCTGATCTATTCACACACAAAAAATTTACACTTAATAATGCTTGCTTTGCCTTCATGAAAAACTTTTCATAATATCATACAAATGTACGCAAGAATCATTAAATAAAAAAACAGAAATAATATCTAAATGCCATCACAAAAAAGTTCTTGATTGACAACCATGAGCCCAAAGATTAAAAAACCAAACCATATATTCAAATAGTAACAGTTTTATAATTGTTTTTGGATGTCACAACGTTTATTAAGAGTATATTTTTCAACAAAAAAAAAAAAAAAGTATTTTTTACCTGATGATTGCTAAATGCATGAAACTTTTAGTAGTAAAAATTATGTATTTATCTTTATTTAATCTCGCCAAAAATTCAATTATATATATATATATATATATATATATATATATATATATATATATATATATATATATATATATATATATATATATATATATATATATATATATATATATAAATATATATATATATACATATATATATATATATCCCTTACGGAAATATTCCATGGAAAACCCATGGAATTCCATGAGTAAACCATGGTTTTCTTATGGAAAACGGGAATTCCATGGAATTTCCATGGGTAAATTTCATGAAAATTGAAATCCCATGGAATTTCCATGGGTGAACCATGTTTTTTTTTTCATAGCTTGAGCTGCGCCATGGTTGTTACAAATGCGCTTTTAAAGATGGCGTCATAGCTCGTAGAGTTATGATTATTTTTAACTTTAGAAAATAATACTTACTGCATTCTTCTGTTTTTCTGTGTTTAATAAGACTATGAATTATATGTTTTTTATAATGCATTACATTTATATGATTTAAACTAAACATACAGACATAAATAACTAGATATATTTATCATATTATAATGCATTATAAAATGGATTATTTTTAATTATATTTAATTATATATCATTTATGCATATACTTATTTTAACTGTTTCCAGTAGCTTTGCTTACTTTGCATAACTTGCAATAGTATAGCAAGTATGTCAAGTAAACCAGTTTGAATTTTAATGCCTACTTGGCAAACTATTTGCCAAATAATTATTATTTGGTTTACAACAAATAAATGTTTAGTTTTAATCTACATTAAATAACTAGTGTATTAATGTACATAGTGTAATTTAATGTACATTCAAACTAGTATAATTATTATTATAAAACTTATCGAACATATTAAAGAAACTTATCTAAAATATTAATATACAAGCAGTATATTAGATAAGATTAGATAACTAAGATAATAAGATTAGATAACTGTACAAAAGATAACTAGTATGATCTTTTTTATTTTTTTTTATAATAGCCTTAGATTACATAAAAATGCTTGAAGTTTATTGTATCGTAAATGTTCATTAAGTATTAAAAAACATTTTTTTATGATAAATGTTCTATTCAATTTTAGTTCTGTTAAGTTGTTTTTGTCTTTTTGTTGTTGTTTTTTCTTTAGAATTATTAGAATATGTAAATAATGTAATATAAATAATGTTTATAAATTCTTTTATATTTACTTTATTATTTTATTTAAATTACTACATTATAAGCCAACAGGTTTGACTGTCAATATAAATAATGTTGTTCATCGTTTATATTGTTTATAACATTGTCAGTTTTTATACGCATTTAATATTTTTAAAAATAGTTCAAAAGCTGTCAAAATAAAATGGTGAATTGAGTTTAAACCAGAAAAGATATAAACGTAATCTTTGGGATTCAACTTGTAAGGATGTTCCAAGAACCACTTAGTTGGAGAAGGAAAACTGTGGTAATATTTTATAAGTATCAGTAAGGGAAATTACTTAATGCACAAGATTTTACTTCATAGTTAAATATAAGCATATAAAAGCAATGTTTATAAATAATACACTATTATTTATTATAATACAATTATTTTTATTTGTTTATATTTAACTGATGTAAAGTGCTCGTCTTTAGTTAAAATAAATTAATTTATGCACACACTTTGATATTTACTATGCTTTTACATTACTATACTTTATAAATTACATATTTGTTATGTTTTAAATAGTGAAGTAAAAATATAATAAATTTTTGAATTTAATGGTATGTGCGTAAGTTTTTTTATTTTAACTTTATCATTTTATTTAAATTACTGCATTATAAGCAGGTAAGTTTGACTGACAATATAAATAATGTTGTACATCATGCAGACAGCTCAGACAAAGAAGTAAGTTTTTACTTAAAATTACAATTTATAAGTTATACTATATTTGTTGCTGCCTTATTCTATATAAATGTTACTAACATGCAGGTAAAATTTATATATGTGTATAAATCTTTTCATTTAACCTTATCATTTCATTTAAATATAAATTTTTAATTTATTTAGCCGTTCATTAACAAGTCCTGTGCTTTATAATATATTAAAAAATGGAAGGACGTGAAGAAAACAGGTTTGTAAATGATGTTGTACATCATGCAGATAGCTCAGAAGAAGAAGTAAGTTTTTTTTTAATTACAAAAGTAAATGTATAATATAATATTTGTTGCTGCCTTGTTCTATATAAATGTTTCTAACATGCAGGTAACATTTATATATGTATTAGTTTGAATAAATCATTTTAATAAAGTTACATTATAGGCAGGAATGTTTGACTGGAAATATAAACGATGTTGTACATAATGCAGATAGCTTAGGCAAAAAAGAGGTAACAATCTAATAATTTGTATTTATAAATAATGATATATTCATTGCTACTTTTTTCTATATAAATGTTACCTAACATTTGGCAACATTCATAATTGTGTATAATGCCTAATTATAAAGTAAGTTATAATAGATAATAATTATAAGTAAAATGAATTAGTAAATAAAGAAAACTAGTTAGATTGTATATAATAGTTGTATGATTTATTGTCTAGATTGGTGAAATGGAGAATGAGACTAACTAGGGTGAAAAAAAATGAATATTAATATGTGAATGGTACTTTGTTTAACATCTACCTGTGTCTACAGATACACTTCAGATGCATTTATAAATGGGCTTGATGTTTTTTTAATTAGATATGTTGTATTGATGGTTCTTTTTAACTTGTTAAAACTTGAAGTTATTATCAAATTTATATATACTATTTTTATCAAATAGTTAATATAAAATAATAAACATGTAAATTGTTTTATTTTCTGTAAAAATTGTTTTCTTGATAAATTTCAATTGTTTATCACTATGTATAGTAATACTATAAGTGATATCACTTATAGTATTATATTACTTGTAATTTTTTGTTTTATTTATTTTCAGTATGTTATACATATGCATGCATAAAATATTGTGGGGAAGTCAAGTTTTAATGTTTTAGGTGCATTATAGCTATTATTTTTCAAAGATTTGTAGGATTTAACAAGATTTAAATTTTATTTTGTTTATTGATTTTATTTGGAGAAAGTGATCTCATAGATTAAGAGAACTCAATAATAGTGGGATAAAATTTGATTTTATATTTTAATATGACAATTCAAATAACATTAGATAAAAAAACTTGAAAACAAATCATGCTTTTTTACCATGAAAAATCCATAAGTTTTCCTTGGAAAGGTGTTCCTAATACCTATGGAAATTCCATGGTTTTTCCATGGATGGAAAATCAATATCCATGGTATTTGAAACACTTTTCCATGAAAAACTTAAAGATTTTTCATGGGAAATTCATGTGTTTCCCATGAAAACTCATGGTTTTTCCATGGAAAACTCATGGTTTTTTCATGGGAACGTGTTCCAAATACCCATGGTTTTTCCATGGTTTTTTTTTCTAAAATTCCCATGGGAAATTTTCGTACGGGATATATATATATATATATATATATATATATATATATATATATATATATATATATATATATATATATATATATATATATATATATATAGGTTTTGACAAGAGTGGCAGGATATAGCCTGTGCCTGCCTCCACACTTCCATGTAAATCAGTTTACACAGGCAAAATATAGACTATGCAAACTTTCGGTATAACTGATAACTATTGGTATCGGTAAAAAAATGTTAAATATTTTAGCATTTTTTATTTAGTTATTCTTTAAAAATTTCTGACATGATAAATTTCAACATGGAAGGCAATTTTTTTTAAATTAAAAAATTAAAAAAATTTAGCATTTTGAAAGAACTTTATCTTTTGACCTTTTCACCTTAGTAAACACAAATGCCTCTTCTTTTGCCAACAATATTTTTATCATGTAATTGGGTCTCTTGCTTTTGATGATGCTTCTAACATGCTTGGCATAAAGGCAGGTGTGGTTTAGTTACTTTTGAATTAGTTTTTCAATTTAATTATATGGCATTTTAGTAATCATTGTCTTGGGTGATTGTAGAGATGTTATGCAACACATTTTATGTTATTCAACATATTTCATACAAGGCTGGATTTGAGATTTATAGATATAGAGAATAGAATCTGGAGTAAGAAAGTGTCAAGCTCATTAAAGAGATGCAACCTTAGCAGATGCTAATTTTGCAAAGGATTTGATATATGGTTTCCAAGAAAGATCGGAACTAAGAGTTAATCCTTAAGGATGAAGGGTAGATGACTCATAGAGTCATTACCGTTAATAAATATAGGAAGATCTAAATTATTGGGATAACGATTGGCTGAAAAAAATTGTGTTTTATCTGAATTAAAGTTCACAAGCCACTGTGAATCTCATGCTGTAGCAGAAGTGAGATTCAAGCTCAAATGCCCCTTCCAAGCAATAAGGGAGTGCTGGTTTCTTATCATGACAAGAATAAATGGTAAAATCATCAGGGAACAATGCCACCTTAGACATAAAAATATCTGAAAGATCGTTAATGTAAATTAAAAAGAATATAGGGCTAAAAATTGAAGCTTGAGGAACCCCTGAAGTTACAGAATACAAAGAGTGCTGTCCATCGAGGACAACTTTTATACTATGATTGGAAAGAAAGGATTCAATAATCTTGTTATCAGATACACTGTAAGAATAAAGTTTATGGA